GCCCCCTGGGCCGCGGAACCCTTTTGGTTTCGTCGAGGCTCGCGGCGGTTCGCCCCCCTTGGCCCCTCCCCTGGGCCTGAGCCTCAGCTCCCCTGGGCCACCCCCCCTTGGGACCCCCCCTCCGTCCAAGCCGCCCCCCCTTGGGAGCCGGCTCAGCAGCTCCCGTCTGGGACTAGCCCCACCAGCCTCCAGAATCGCGCCCAGCACCTCCTTGTAGTACGGATTCGCACGTTAGTACTGCTCCACGACCCAAGCTGGCACCCACTGGCGGAGCATTGGGTCAGTCAGCATTTCCATAAACATGTATCCCCAGAACTGATCTGTCCTGCCCCTCCAGGCCCCCCACCCCGACTTGAACCACAGGTCCTGCACGCGTAGGAGCAGGTCGCCCCCAGCATTTGGAACGAACTCCGTAGCCCCAACACACACCTCCGGCACAGGCCGGACATCCCGCCGCACCTCCGCCTCGATCATGGCCGGCCCCGGCGGTCCGCCGTCGCCATGTGCCGCCAGCGAGCGAAGATGTTCGCCCGCGCGTACGCCTCGTGGCAAGCGTGGTCCACATTCGCACACTCGGTGCTGTAGCCGGGCGTCACCTGCAGGCACACCGCTGGCTTCCCGCGCTTCAACTTCCCTCGGTACACGGCGTACTTCCAATAGAACTCGAACAGCGAGACATCGCGCACCTCCTCCTCCGTGATAGACAAGTCGCCCCTGGCGCGCTGCCGACGCACAAACTGCAGGCTCCTGTCGAACTTGTCCATTTACTATCCCAGTGAACAGGCTCGCCCTCCGCCTTGCCCCGCAGCGCGGATGCAGGCTTCAGGGCACGCGCGCCCGTAGTGTTCAAGGTCACGACAGGCATCATGGACAAGACCATAGGCAAGCGCAAACCAAGCAGCGCCACCTCGTAACAGTGGTAGTTCCGCTCACCGAGCATCCGAGCGAAAAACTTCTGGATCGAGCGACGGAGGAAGTCCGTGCCTCCACCCTCCGGAACACACGCGCAGACCTCGTCGACGGCGTCGTCGAACACCTCCTTGATATTCCGCGAGCCCTTGGGCGCCTTCGTCGTTTATTTGGTGACGCACTCCACGACGGCCCACAGGTTCAGGACGGGGAACAAATGGATTTTCCCCATGTTGGCCAAGAGAACGTGCTCCTCGCAACTGTTGCAGAGCCTGTCGCTCCTCGGGAACACCGCCTGCCAATGGCCCTCCCTGCGCCCCTTCTCCATGTGGAACAGCCGTGACAAAACGCGGCCCCACCTCTCACGCGGAAAATCATTCCGGCAGAACACGCACCCCTCCTCTCCGCGAGCACACGCATGAAAACCGAGCTTAGGCGACCCCATGCCATGCTTCGTGTGGCGCGCGACCCTGTTTGCTCACCAGCGCGGACACCAATCTCCGAACGGGCTGCACGTCGACCTTCCCTGCTGCCTTGGACTGAAAGGCCTCGTCCAGGACGCTCCGCAAGTTCAAGCACTCCGGCGCAGACGCAGGCACGCTCCGAACCGCCCAGCCCTCTGACGTCTCGCCAGTGGCCTGGTCTTGCATCTCCACGTCAACGTCGAAAACGCCAACATCGTCGTCCCACGTGTACCTGCACGCACCCGCGTCATCGTAGCAAGGGTTCCACTCCGACACCACGTGCCCGAAGAACTCATAGAACCACTTCTCCATAACGCTCTGAAGCGAAACATTCTCGTGCTCTGGCTTCAGCACACCGAAATCAACAACAGCACCTGCCAGGCGCTGCACGCGGACCCAGGCGGGAACACCTGCAGGCCTTGGCCCCCGAACTGCGCCAGCGTCCTGCGCGCCATAACCGTCCTCACCGCCCTCCACAGAACTGCCACCCGGCGCGTCCACAGGCGCGGCAGCAATCTCTGGCACGACACGCTCGAACGCCACATCCCGCTCGTCCCCGCGACCGCGCGCACCCTCATCAACATCCACGCTTACCAACCACCCACGATCCACCAGCGCGTCGAGCAGCGCAGACGCCCTACCCACGAAATCATCCTCACGGTCGTCCGCGGCATCCTCACTCCCAGACCCCGAAGCCGCTGAGCCCATACCCCCATGACCCGCAAATGCACGCCCGACTGGCCGGCCAGCAGCGACGCGCAGCACCTGCTCCAGGGCCGCGAGAGCAGCAGCACGACGCTTCCGCTCCAGCGGCGGCCAGGCCAGCGGACCCGCCTCGAGCGCGGGCAGGCATGCCGCCACGTCGCTGACCACGCTCGGCGGGAGCACGTCACCCTCTCCGTCCACGTCGGCACGCACCCGCGCAATCTCAGGCCCCAGCAGCCCCACGCTGAACCCGTGGTAGTGCAGATTTCCGCCCGCACCGCACTCCGCCCTGGCCGTCGCCATGTACTTGAACTGGTCTGAGTGCGGGAGCACTGCGGGCATCACCATCCGCATGTTCAACTCCACTCGCAAGGCCATCATATACACCACCAGGTCCGGGTTGTCCCCCACGAAACGGAAGCGCTCCTCTCGCCCGTCGCCGACCCAATCTCCCAGGGCACGGTCTCCCGCCGCCCGCGCCCCTGGACCTCCCCCCATGCGCTGAATGTCATACGCGGCATTGTAGAACGGGTTCTGTGTCCACCAGATCGACGGGTGCCCGCCGAGACCGACGACATCCGGCACGAGCGGCCGCCTGCGCTGGGTCCGCCCGTTCCCCGCAGGCATGTCCATCTCACGCAGGAACCGCCTGCCCACAGGCTCAGCGCCGTCCGCAGAGAGCCGTCCACCCAGGGAGGGTGCCAGGACAGGTGCTTAACGGTACTCTGCAATTTCTTGGACTCATAAGACTAGTGCATCGTGGTCGATGGCACGTCGCGCCCCACGTTCGCCAGCTGGCCAACCAAAATCCGCACGCGGTCCTGGCTCTCCAGGATTTGCCGAAGCCCGCCCTTGGTCATCACGCTGGGGCCCTGGACCGCGAGACCCGCCCGCCTGTACATGGTCCGATACACGCCAAAGCCCTTGGCCCTGGCCTGGTTCAGGAGCAGCACGTTAACCATGGCCCACATCACGCGCTGCCCTGGCGGGCCACCTACGACCTGCCCGGCGCGGTAGCGCATCAGGTGCTGCATCCAGTCCTGCACGGAAACCCGTCGGGGGCGGTCCTCGAAGAGGTCGCCGATGCCCATCGGAAATCCCAACGGGAGCGCCCTCGCGAAGCGACCGAAGGAGCGCGCTGGAATTGGGTCCTCACTCTGGCCTGGCCACCCGTAAATCATTCGCTCCCCCGTCTGACCGACCGCCTCGTCTTCGTCAAACTCTGGTAATTTCTCCTCCACGCATCCCGTATCCCTGTCCTGGGCGGCTCCCACGAACCTGCCGGCCATGGCCAGCTCCAGCATCACCTCGTCTAGAATCGCCTCCGGAATCACGTCCCCCTGCGAGCCCGCGAACGGGCCCCTCACCCGCGGCCGCATCCAGTCCACGAGAAACTCGACGCGCACGCACTCCACGGGCATCCGATCCCTCTGCACGGACACCACTCTGCTCTCCCCCCGCACCGCGTCGAGCAGGCGCCTGAACAAGTCCTCCGTCGTCTCATCATCGCCAGACTTCAGCCCCTCTGACTGGACCTCCGCCTCTGGCTGCAGCCCCGCAATGCACGAACTGCGCCGTGTCGAGCCATGCACTGAACACGTCGTGAACAACGGCCATGGCCTCGTCCCCGTCCCCGACGTCGAACTCATTATCATCGGCCTCCTCGGCATCACCGTCGGCCGTGGCCTCAGCGCCGCCGTCGCCACCCTGCGCGCCGTCGCCATCGCGGCCTGTCGTCTCGCGCCCAGCCTCATCGAGCGGCCCTACGAAGTGCACGTCAAAGCCAGCGGCAATGAACTGGCGCGGCGTAACGACGTCGACGCCAGACAAACCGCAATCCATGGAAATAGCCTCGGCCCGCGTCACCGGCACAGGCACCTCCAGTTCCCCTGCCTCGTATCCCGACAGCACGGCGGCGTCCTCGCCCTCCCTCGGCGCATAGCACCTGATGATCTCGTCGTCTGGCAGCACGTCAAACAGGCGCGGGTCGCAATACTTGTGCATGGGCTCCGCTATCCCTGACAGCAGTAACGCACTACCGAAAAGGCTCCTCGGCCCTATGCCGAGGGAGGTCGAGGAGGCAAAACTAATGACTCAGATGACGATGATGTCATGGCGCTGCGCGTGCGCACGCTCCGCCCCACGCCTTCCGCCACGCGTCAGCGGGCTCTGCCGCCCGCGGCCCCTCGACCGCGGGCAGAGAGCCTTTCGAAGGCCAACGGGTGGGAGAGGCCTGCAGGGCCTCCTGGGCGGGCCAGCTTGGCCCAGAAAAGCTAGAGCCCGAGAGGGGGAAGCAGGGGAGAGCAAGCAGAGGCAGGGGCAAGGACAGGAGAGGACGGGCCCCCGCATTCCTGGGGCCAGGGAGAGCCTAGCGTTTGACCAAACAACTAAGCTATCCCTGACAGCAGTAACGCACTACCGAAAAGGCTCCTCGACCCTATGCCGAGGGAGGTCGAGGAGGAAAACATGATGACTCAGATGACGATGATGTCATGGCGCTGCGTGTGCGCACGCTCCGCTCCACGCCTTCCGCCACGCGTCAGCGGGCTCTGCCGCCATCTCTCGGGCGCGCCTGGCAGCGGTCGCTGCCGGCGCACCCTCCACTGTGGCCCGGGGGCGCGGGCAGCCTGCGGCCGCCGGCACACCCGGGGCTCTTCGTTCGCCGGTGCCTACGCAGCGCCGGCGCGGGGCGCGGCCAGGCGGCGCGCGCTGCGCCTGCCGCCAGCTGCGCCCAAGCCCGCACCGCCGCCCCTCATGACGGCACTGCGGTTGCGAATTCAGCGCCAGGCTGGCCGTGGGGAAACCCACGGGCCTGGCCGCGCGGGGGGGCCAGCGTGGCTCCAGCCGCCCGGGCGCCCGGCCGCCGCCGCCCCCATGCACCGCAGGCCGCGCGCGCACCGCTGCCCGCGGGCGCTCGGCCGCTCAGGGGCCCAGGCGGCCTGGCTGCCCCACGGGCGCCCAGTCGCCGCCGCCAGCGCCTCGCAGCCCGCAGGCGCCCAGCTGCCCGCGGGCGCTCGAAGCGCTACGCCTGGCGTCATGCGCCGGCGCGGCTCCGCACGCCAGGCCGTGGCCGGCGGCGGAGCACTCCATCCCTTCACCGCTCGCCAGGCCATCGGCTGGCGGCGCCACAACTCAGCCGTCTCGCGCTCCTCCCCATCTCACTCGCTCGCCAGGCCTCTGGCCGGCGGCGCCACTGCTCAGCCGCGGTGCGGCTTGGCGGCCACCTCGCGCGTGACCTCGTCCCCGCGCTGGAAGCCCTGGTTCTTGTGGAGGTAGCGGGTGCCGCTGTAGTGCACCGGCCCCTGGATCCCCGCGTCGCAGTAGATATTTTTGGGCTTCTTGGCCGTCCTCTTGTCGTCCTCCGTCGTCTCCTTCGGCGTCCCGCTCGAGCCCTGGGGCCGGCGGTCCCGCCTCGGGCTGCACCAGCAGTCCCAGGCCATCGCCAACGTCGTAGCCAGCACCACCACCAGCGAGATGATGACCTTCACCATGATCTCCAGGGGGATCGCGACGGTGATGTCCTCCACGTCCGCCGCCAGGCGCACGCTGACTTGCTTCTTGTCCTCCTCCACCACTGCCAGCTCTTGGCTGGCCGCCGCAGCCTGACCCAGTGTGGTCGCGGCCGCCGCTGCGGCCCCGAGGGCTGACAAGCCCCTGGGGGGGGCACGCCTGGCGCTAGCGCCGGCGGCTCTCTCCTGGGGCTTCGCTGCTGGCGTCGTCAGCTCCGAGTGGTCGTTGGCCATGCGCCTGGCTACGTCACGCTGCGGCTCGTGCGTCTCCCAGAGGTAAGCATGGAACGAGTCCGACGCCCATCTCCCGTACCTCTGGACCTTGGCGAGGTCGTCCGTGACGCGGTACTTCGCCGTGGCACCGCCGATCCTCAGGGAGCGGGAGCCGATCTCTTCACGCTTGAGGCCTGCCGCCAGGCCCGCCAGCGCGAGGAAATGCTGCACCTCCTCGCGCTTCACGGGTACTCCCGAGGCCCACCGGAACAGGGGCAGCCGCGCCTCCGCACCGCAGTCGAAGCGCTGCGGGTGCTGGGCCTGCATAGCCGCCAGGGCCTCGACGGGGCACAGCGCTGAGTGGGTGGCGTACTGGTTGCGCACCGTCCCCACATTGTACTGGTCCGTCTTCGAGCCCTTGATGTGCAGCACGCACACTCGTCGGCCTGGGCAAACTGGCCGACGCGCTCCCCCTCGAGCCTCGCCTCGAGGTCCTCTCCGGGGACCACCCTGTCGACGGACCGCGATCTCCCCGCCACCACTAGGTACTCCGACGCCCTCAACAGGAAGAAGAAGGCGAGGAGCACCGCGGCAAACAGCGCGGCGGCGTCGGCCTGGGACAACCCCGCATCTGCATGGATGTGCTGCTTGAGCCACAGCAGCATCCGCGGGGTGACCGGCCTCTTCCGCCTGCTGCTGGGCCCCTGCAGACTTCAGGCCGGCCAGGGTCGTCCAGAGTCGCCCCCAGTGAAGCAGCGGGTCGCGGTACCCGACCATCAGGCGGGCGTACCTGATGGCGAACAGCTTCTGCTTCACCGCCCCTTCCGTCCGCGACAGCGCCACCGCCATGATGACCACGAAGTCGATCAAGGCGTCCTCGTCGCTGGTCCGCTCGCCGCGGCCCCGGCCCTGGAGCCACGGGCCCAGCCCTTGGGCAGCGCGGCGCGCGGTCCACTACCGCCAGCCGCCCTCGTGCCCGCTGCGGGCGCCCTCGCTCAGCTTCTGCAGCATCAACTCCGTGCGCAGGTCGCGGAGCCACTCGCCGTAGTGCTCCCCACCCACCATGGGGTGGGCGGGTGGCACTGGCAGGCTCGCGCGCGCCCGCCCCAGGGCCAGCGGCTGGACCAGCTCCGGCATCGCCACGGCCCGCCCTTTGCGGGCTAGCCGCGAGCGGGCACCCCGAGGTGCACGAGGGCTGGCCAGGCCCGCGTCCAAGCGAAGCTCGTCGGCGGACGGTGGGGTGGTTGGGCCGAGGATCATGTCTTCGTCGATCTGCTTGAACCTGATCCTCTGGCTCCTGTGGCGCTTCTTGTGGATCTCTGTGGAGAGGGCACCTCCGGCCGCCTCCCTGTCCTGGCGCAGGACCTCTGCTGCTGGGTTGTCCGGGGCGATGGCCCAGGCCCTGAACCAGCGCTGCGTGGCCTCCCCAGCCGCCTGCTCCTCCGGGCCACGGCAGTGCCCAGCGGGCTTTGGCAACAGCGGGTTGCCAGTGGTGCGGATCTTGGGGTCAAGGAGGGTCTCCCCCTGGCCGTCCAGCCAGTCCCCGTCCTGGTTCAGCTCCAGGAAATGGTTGACTCCGTGGGCCACGCGGCGTGCCGGCGGCAACCTAATGCTCGCCAGGCAGTGCGCGAAAGGGCCATGGCAGGCGACCAGCACCTTCCTGGTCCTCGAGGTGGCGCCCCCATGCTCGCTGCACAGGAGGTCGAGCGAGGTCAGCGTATAGCCCAACTGCTTGAGAGAGCTTTCGAGCTTCTGAACTGCGAGCCCCACTGGCGCGTCGGCGATGACCACGCTGGGGCGGCCCTGTCCCACGCGGACATGGAGGGCCTCGGTCTCGAAGCCCCGCGGGTCCAGGGTCAGCGACGTGAGCACCCAGGCGGCTGCCTGCCCATGGCCCGCCTCGCGCCCTCCGAGCTTCACGGGGGCATCTCGATATCCTTGGAGCAGCCCGCCCAGCTCGATGCCAATCTGGCCGGTCAGGGGGAGGCACGCCTTCGGCGTGGTTGGCGTGCGCAAGGCCAGATACCGCAGGGTCGCCTCGGCCGGCGGCCCCGTCTCGCTGGGAATCCGCAGGAGCTTGTCCTGGGCGCCCTTAGCCATGGCGCCCCAGGCGGCGGGGGGCTCCAACTGGTGCCAGCCAGCCCTCGCGAGCTCGCTGTGCACCTTCTTCACCTCCTCTCTCTTCAGCCAGTCTGCCACCTCATTGTGGTACGTGCGCGCTCAGAAGGAGGTAAGCATGAAACCGTGCTCGGCCTCTAGCCTCTCGACCACGCGCAGCAGATGGCGGGCCAGTGCGTTCTTGGGCCGACGTTTCGTCAGCCACGACTTGACGTTCGCGTTGACAGTCACGTAGAACACGAGTTCGTCCGTCCACAAATCACCCCGGCATGCGGCCAGCGCCACCAGCGCTAGCAGCTCCACGACCGAGATGATCCAGTCGTCCTCTGAACTCGGTCCGGTCACTGCGTTGCTGAGCTGCTCCAGCAGCGGCCTCGCCTCCGTGGCTAAGTACGAAGGTGGGCCGGCGGCGAGACTCTCGCTCGCACGGCCCCAGTCGACGGCTCCGATCGCATCCAGAGTCGCGTCGCCTCCGGTCCAGCGAGTCCGGCGTGCCATCCCCGGCAGCGCCATCAGTTCGCGGGGGGTCAGCGCTTGGCTGAAGCCTGCCTGGAAAGACGTGCCCCAAGCCTCCGGCGCGTCGAAAATCACCCGGAAGAGCTCCAAGGTGCGGCCCCACTCCTCCCACGCGGCCGCCACGGTGTCGGGGTCGCCCTTAGGACTCGCCCAGGCGGAGCCCTCGGCCACATGCCCCAAGAGCTTGTCGAGGACTGGGAGCTCAGGGCGGATCGCGGGTTGCGCGGAACTCCAGTGCTGCGCGCACCCCCATCAGCTCCTGCACAAGCTTCGTCGGGACGCGTCTTGATCCGTGGGCAAGCTCCGGCAGGGCGAGCAGGCACTGCGCCTTGATGCACTTCTGCTCGGGGGGGCGGGTTGTCTTCTTGCTGAAGTTCATGTTTAGCCCCCACACCAGCTGCTCTGGCGCGAACTCACCCTCCTCAGCGAGCTTGTCGGCGTTGACCGCCTGAGGTCCCCAGACGCGCCGCATGGCCCGGTCGAGCTCGCCCCCCGAGAGCCAGGGGCGGAGACCCACCAGGGGCTCAAGCACCACCCCGTCGTCCATGAGCCACTTGCTCGCGAAGCTGATCTCGTCGTTGACGGAGGGCGTGGGGGGCCGATGGCGTTCGTGCTCCTTCTTCGCGGCCCAGGAGAATGCCACGTATTCCCCCGGGCTGCCCGACCAGCCAAAAACCAGCACGGAGTGGATCATCACGACCCTCCCTCCAATGCCGACGGCGTCTCCCGGCAGAGACGCCCCGAACTCCGGGGCGGCGGCCGGCTCGAGGCGGTGCCACTTGAAGGCCCGCGCGACGCCCCGTTTCGCGCACAGCTGCGGCACCCTGGGATGGCAGGCTTCCCACCACAGCGACAGCCTGGCGAGCCCACGGTGGAGTGGCTGCTTCGCCGGCGGGTGCTGCTCCTTAGGGCTGTCCACGTTGGCGCACCTCATGTCGTGGATCGGCCGGCCCTCCGAGGAGATCGTCCTGTCGGGGTTCTGCTTGGGGGCGCGGCCGGAGGGCGACTCGATGACGGCGGACGTCTCGAGCATAGTCGTTGACGTCGTCGGAGGCCCAGATCACGACGCCGAAGCGGGAGTCCTTCCAGCACTTCTCGAACATCTCCCCCGCGTGATCCACGGCTGAGGAGTGTGACTTGTGAACCTCGCGTGTCCTCGGGGCAACCCTTCGAGAGGGCACGCCGCCCTCTGCCATGGCGCGCAGGTAGCGCCCGTGTTCGGGGCTCAGCGCAGCCTGGAGGTCGGCGCTCAAGACACCCTCCAGGGGGTTCCCGTGCAGCTTCTCACGGGCTGCCTTCAGGAGCCTGGCGGCCTCCTCCACAGAGCCCGTCGTGCGCAGCAGCCTGTTATCGGGAGCGGCCAAGAGGGGGGTGTCCAAGAGGGGGGGGTGCAAATCATGACCAGCGGCATGTGCGCGGCCCAGCGGGGGGGGCCAGGGACGTAATGAAATAAGAAGAGGCGCCATGAAATCTGGGGAAATATCATGGCCCCCGCCATGATATCCCCCCCCCCCCTAGTCATCACCCCCCTCTTTGCCGCCCCCGATGTTACCCCGCTCCACGACCTCCTTCACAAGCTCGGGCCGGTGCTCGGGGCGCGAGGCACACCAGGCGACATACTGGGCCGCCTCCGCCTGGCCGCGCGTCGGGGCGGCGGCCGGTGCCCCGTCGAACGGTGGCGGCGGAGCCTGCCGGCTGCCGGCAGGTCTCGCCTTCTGCGCCCGTGGTGGTCTCTGTGGCGGCGGCGTTGCGCAGGGTGCGGGGCCTGGGGCATCGCCCCCCCCTTGCTGCTGAGCTGCACGCTCCTCGTGCTCTTTGCCTGCGCCTGCAGCTTCGGGCGCACCGGAGCGCTCCCGCTGGGCGCGCTGCCTGGGGAGGGCCCAAGCTTCCACGGCTGGGGGGCGAGCCGTCGAGCTGCGGTGCTGGCCCCGCCAGCGTACGGCGGATCGGGCATCTCGCAATCGCTGGGCTCCTCGTCGTCGTAGGACTCGTCGTAGGCGCTGGGCTGCGCCGGCGGCTCCTCTCGAAGGGGAGGCGCCAGGCGATCGCCTTCTGGGATGCCCAGGGACGTCTCGAGCTTCGTCAGCATCGTCACGAACTCGTTGCGGATCCGCCCCTGCCCGTTGCGGGTCCAGCTGGCCCCTCGGGGGGGCCCCTCGTCCACCTTCGTGATTCCGAGCACAAGCAGCTCGCGTGCTGACGTCCTCATCTCGTTGGGGGGCGTGCGTCCGGCCAAAATGTCCCTCGCCCGCCCCGTGGCAGTCGTCTTCGCCCTCCAGGATGAGCGAAACCATCGGTTCACTTGTCTCCCACGAGGGCGCCAGCTCTGGGTTGGCTCGCCCTGCCGCTCGCTCGGCTGCTCCAGCCGGCGGCGGTTGGTCGATCTGGCCGATGCGGCACGCCTGGCACCTGCGGTGGCCGGCGGCCTCCCCGAGTCTGCAGTCAATACTAGGCATCCCCGGCGGCGGCATCATGGGCGGCATCCCCGGCGGGCGCACCGGGAAGCCGGGCGGCAGCGCGGCGCCCCCCGGCGCCGGCAGCGCGCCCCGCGCGCGGCGGTGCCGCGCCTCCTGCCCAGCCGGCGGCTCCTCAGAGGGAGCACGATCCTGGCTGGCTTCACTTTCTTCGCGCTGGCCGGCCTCCCTCTCCCTGCGGAGCCGAGCGGCTCGGCGTGCTCGCATCTCGTTGAGCCTTTTTGATCTCCAGCCTCTGCACGCCCCTGATCTCGCGCCCCCTGTCGCCCTCGTCCCTGGCGCGCGCCGCCTCCAGCTCAGATCGAACATGGTGGAGCTTGGCGCTGTCGCCTGAGCTGGACGCCCCTCCGGCGGCCAGGGCGCTAGCCTCGCCGGCCGCTACGGCGGCTGTGGCTGCGGCCGCGGCGCTGCTGAACGTGGGCTTGGTCAGGAAGCTCCTGCTCATCTGGCGTGAGGCTGCGCGGTCCGCTATCCTGAGCGTAGCGCGCCGTTGGGTGCCTCGGTCGCCCTACTCCGACCAGGGAGCTCGGGGGTTCTCCTGGTCGCGCGTCCAGGGCGGGGCCCAGCTCACGAAGTTCTGGGGGTCTTCCGCGCCGATCCAGAGGACGAGGGTGTCGCCGGCCAGCACTCTCGTCTCATCCTCCAGCGGTGGCCCATCTGCGCCTGCTGTCTCCTCATCCTCGGTGCAGAAGAAGATGCGCATCCTGGCGTCGCGGACGAGGTCGTCTCTCAACGGGCGCGAGGTCATCAGCATCATCTTGATGTCGATCACCGTGGTGGGCACCGTCGGTATGTCCATCCAGCGGTCGCCCCTCTGCGGGGGGAGGATGCGAGCTGGTGCCGAAGCGCTGCCCTCCTTCTCCTCCTCACGGGACTTCCTGGGGCGTTTCGGCTCTTCTTCCTCATCGTCCTCGTCCTCGTCCTCCTCGTCCCTGCTGTCGTCCTCGCCTGGTTGGCCCCCTGGGCCTGGGGTGAGCTTGATCTTGCTGCGCCCCGCCTGGCCTCCCTCAGCCTCTCTCTTCGCGGCCTTGTTGCGCTTCCAGCCTCCTCTCTTGCGGCCCCTCTTGCCACGCTTGCCCTCCGGGGCGTCATCCTTGGCTGCGCCCACTCTCTCGCCGCTGACCTCCCCCGTCTGCATGCACACGTCCACCTCCGCATCCACGCCCTCGCTCTTTGAGCGGGGGTATCCCGGGCCCTCCTCCGCCTCCGCGCCCTCGATCGCGCCCTTCGAGAGCGAGTCCGCCCTGCCCTCTGAGCCGGGCCCCAGCCTCTGACGCGGGAAGTGGTCGTCGAAAAGGGGGGGGTTCAGGATGGAGCCGTCGTCGTGCTGTG